GACCATGTTCACGGCCATGCTCGGGGACGGGCCGTCGCAGAGCTGGACGGCGCCGCCGGCCGTCGGGCTCAGCGTCGGCGCGGGCGTCGGCGCGGGCGTCGGCGCCGCGGTCGGCCGCGGCGTCGGCGACGTCGTCGGCGCGCCCGTCGGCCGCGGCGTCGGGCTCAGGGTCGGCGCGGGCGTCGGCGCGACCGTCGGCGCGGGCGTCGGCGCGGGCGACGGCGCGTGCGAGTGGCTCGGGGCCGGCGTCGGCGGGGCCGACGGCGCGGCCGACGGCCCGGGCACGCAGGCCGCGGTGACCGCGCGCGACGCCGCGGGCTCCGAGACCAGGCCGCCGCCGAGGACCGCGGAGACGCGCGCGCGCACCGCCGCGCCGCAGGGCAGGCCCTCGTCGCGGAGCACGTGGTAGAAGCGGCCGTCGAAGTCGCGCGAAAAATCCTCGCCGCCCGGCGGCGTGTCGAGGACGAAGCTCCCGCCGTCGACGGAGAACCAGACCAGGAACTTGTCCGCGTCCTCGTGGGTCCACCAGAGGAGCATCGTGTTCTCGAGCTCCTTGGGGCTCGCGAGGACGAGGTCCGCCGGCGGGTGCGGCGTCGTCGTCGGCGGGCTCGTGTCGCCCCCCGTCGGCGCGGGCGCGGGCGCGGCCGTCGGGTTGCCGACGGGCGCCGCGGACGGCGCGGGCGCGGGCGCGGCCGTCGGCGTATCGTCGTCGTCGTCGTCGTCGTCGTCGTCGTCGTCGTCGTCGTCGTCGTCGTCCGCGACCGCGAAGTCGAACTTGATGGTCGCGTCGAGGACGTAGAGCGCGTGGCCGCCCCCCTCGCCGACGACGTAGGACGGCTGGAACAGGCCCCCGTCGCTCGGGAAGTCGGCGAGGTCGAAGGCGATTGTCTCCGTGACCCACTCGTGGTACGCGCAGCAGTGCTCGTCGACGTCGTCGCCCCGGGCGAGGCCGACGGCGCCCTTGCGGCCGCCCCAGCCCTGGTCCTTCCACGTGAGCGTGAGCGCCGCGGCCGCGACGGGCGCCGCCAAGGCGATCGGTGCGCCCCAGTCGACGCGCGCGCCCGCGGACGCCCCGTCGGACACGTCGGGCAGCGATACGATCTGCGACGCGCCCGCGACCGTCGGCGGCATCGACGGCGCGGCGCTCCGCGTGGAAAACTCGAAGTGGTCCTCGAAGAGGAACTCGCCGCCCGCGTGGAGCTCCTCGCCGTCCAAGCTCAGGACGTAGGCGCCGGCGCCGTAGGCGCAGCAGATGCCGTCGCCGAAGGCGTCGAAGATCGTGAAGCGGAACGTGGCGCCGCGGCAGAGCTGGACCTCGGCCGCGTGGGGCCCGGAGCCGTAGGGCCCGCCGCCCGCGGCGACGTCGCAGGACGCGGGCCCGGCGACCTTGACGAGCTCCCAGGTCGTCTCGCCGGGGTAGTTGTCCGTGGTGATGGCGACGGTGAAGGCCGCGAGGTCCGGCGTCGGGTGGGGCGACGCCGACGGCGCGGCGCTCGGCGCGCCCGTCGGCGCGGCGCTCGGCGCCTTCGTCGCCGTCGGCGACCGCGTGCCGGCCATGTCCTCGACGCAGTAGGCGAAGGCGTGGGCGTCGACGTAGCCCGCGCCGAGGCCGTAGCCCGGGTTCGCGTCCGAGATGTCGCTCGCCGTGTCGTAGAGGCAGCCCAGGAGGTCCGCGTTGTCCGCGTCGGGATGGATCGACACGCCGAGCGCGAGGACGCCCGCCGTGTGGGGGCAGGCCATGGACGTGCCCGACGCGTGGCCGTAGGTGTCGCCCGTGATCGTCGAGTAGACGTTGACGCCGGGCGCGGAGATGTCGATCCAGTCGCCGTAGTTGGAGAAGGACGCGCGGGCGCCGTCGTCGCTCACGGCGGCGACGCCGACGACCGCGCCGTAGCAGCCCGGGTAGTAGCAGCTGGCGGAGTTGTCGTTGCCCGCGGCGAAGACGACGATGCCGCCGGCCGCGTCGTAGTAGTCGATGGCGTCGAGGACGGCCTGCTCGTAGACGTCCGGCGCCGTGTAGCCCCACGAGTTCGACGAGATGCGCGCGCCGTTGTCCGCGCCGTAGGTGAGCGCCTCGGCGAAGCCGCCCGTCGTCGAGTCCCCGAAGCCGAGCGAGATCATGAGCCGGGCGCCCGGGTGGTCCGGCGAGCC